TATTGGGCGTCCTGGACAACACTAGACAAAGTAATCACAGAAAAGTTAAGACCTAAACATAAAAAGCCGGAATGCTTGCGTCTGTTTGTCCGTATTTGTCCCAGTTTCCTAATTCATTTTGTTCCAATCCGATTACGCGCTGATTTCATGCATATGATTTTAATTTTAGCTATGTGTGCAGAGAGATCTGCAGTTTTCCTTGGCTCTGACCATATTATTTGACCCAGTCCTTGCTTTACACACATTTTGCTTGGCTTGTAATTGAATTCGTACTCGTCCAGCAGTGGAAATAGAAATGTCAGCCCGGCAAATAATTTTATCTGCGTTTATCCATCAGTAGTAGGTATACTTCAATATTATTAAATAAATGCATAAGTCATAATAGATCCACAAGGCATCAAAAGGATACAAATCGTTGTAAGTCCGTGTTCTTAAAGGCTTATCCCCTTACTTACCAACTTTGTTGGTCAAACCTCCATATTTCTTGCTGTGTACTCGTATTTCCATTAAGCCGCTTCGTTGAACGCGGACGTATGGACTCCCAGTGACAGCTGTCAAGCGGCGGACCCGTAACTCAACTCAGGCCAAGTAACAAAGTTGGGAGCATCAAATCATAAATACTATAACAAGGAGAAACACAGACTGCGGGAAACTAGCGACCAAGGGAGCAGAAATAACAAAACGCTGCTGTAACAAACTGTTGCACCAAATTTCGTTGCATACTTTGGCGGGAAATTCCGGTGGGATGTGTCGGCACTCGGGAAATTTGCTAGCCTGAAACGGGATTGCCGTAATATGATGGGTACAAATGCAAATCGTGAAGGTAAAACGCGTCACAAATTTTAAGTGATTCAGAAAAAGTTTCTGCTTAAAAATGAACTGGAAAAAATATTTCTTTAAGAATAAGGTTTTTTGTAAAATATTAGCTTACAATTGTTTTTGCAAGTGCCTTTTTGCAAAGAGGTGAGGACACATCCTGAGAAGCAGTTCCGTTAGTTGAGCAGCCAGCAGATAATCAAGCTTAGTCGGAAGCGGGAAAAATTTACGACTGTTGACAATGTGTACAAAAGTTGCGTCACTTTTTAGTGCTGCCCAGAATGGAAACGACGTGTGAAAGTTTCACTAATATATATATCTATATATGATATTTATTCTATATATATATATATATATTATATATATTATACATATATTTTTATTTATACATATATATGGTACCTAGGTGGTGGAAACTGCAGATCCGTACCAAATTTATGCAGACTGCTTTGAAATTTACAACTATTTTTATGACGCCAAGCAGGCGTCCATTAGACAAGAACAACTTTACGACGCAAGACGACCAAATATCCTGTTAGGAAGCTAGGGAAGAAATATATATATATATATATATAAAGTATATAAGTATATAAAGTATTAAGGGAATGAAGGGTGGGCCAAGGAAATTGATAAAGCCATTGATCCTGCTTTCAAATGATAAGGAAATTGCTTTCGAAATCAATCAATGTGGATAAGAAGGAAATATTCGGTTGTTGTTTTTTGTTGGTTTTCGTAGGCAATTGGTCATAAACGCCAGGAATTACTCATACAAATTACAGAATTTGGCGATTGAAAATAAGTCAAAGCCTCCGTGGCTTTCTGGTATGAAATGTGATTTAGGTAACTCGAGCCACTTCCTAGGTAAATTCCCCCAACCCATTTGTTCACATTTGAATATGCATGGAAGTATTCGAAGTATTCAACTGGCGAATTCGCCAGTTCCCACAATTTGCAATTATTTCTGAGAATAATTTATCTTTCATAAATCTGAAGAATAAGGCCGTTATGTGTATATTCGCTATCTGTATTAGGTCCGCGATGTTTCTTTCACTTCCTTCGAAAACCTTCGAATCCCTTCATAAGACCCCTTTATTGTGGTTATTCCCAAGGGGTTGGTGAAAAGGCCATTAGTTTTGACCCGCAACTTGGCCATAGAAATATGGCCCGAACACAGCATTTCGCATCAACTGGTTCCTATTAATAGAGAGAAAAGGGGTGAGGCTTGGAATATTGATTTTCAGTCGTCCACAAACAAATGAGGTTTACCTAAGGTAAAAAAAAGACCAAAAGCAGAAAGCAGGGTGTGAGGGATTGCAAACCAAAATAGATCCACGACATGTGAAAATCTGTATTTTAAATTATTGACCAATATGACCTAAAAATATGAAATATCGGTTAACAATATGCGAAATTTATTATTCAATGAAAAAAATTAAACAAGTTAAAATAAAAAAAAGGGCAGTGAACTTGTTTATATACATCAATTATTAGTTTTCACAGATTATATCGATAAAGATGCATTCAGTAAATTAATTTTAGGGATCTATAGATTTAAAGCTTGGTAAAGCTTGTAACATTATCAAGTTAACAAGTCTTTATTACACGCGTAGTCCCACGGACACGGACCACCCACCCAACCGCAGCTGTGTATTGTGCAGCAGAATTCAAATAAAACGATACAAAAACCAATAGAGAAATTTTTTTTTAATTTTTAGGCGTGCAAAAAATTTAAATATTAATTTTATTAAGAGCGGCAGAGTCAATAGTGGGTACTAAAGATACAGTCTATTATAGTCGGAACAAAGTACTCTGAAAGGCGCATGGAGGTTATAATTAGATCTACAATAATTTTAAACTAAAGGAACATAATTTCTAGTTAATCTACTTGGCACCCAGACATTTAGACTTAGACTGCCCAACAAACAAGGAAATTATCCCTGGGCTTTTAAAAGTAAACAAGTCTTTTCTAAGACTTTGGAATCAGCTTTCCATGAATTTCGGCTGAGATAAGCTGTGGATAATTTTACTGAAAGTCAACAATTGTAAATGTCGTAATGGCTGCTGGGAAAGCCGAAAGATTGATGGTGTTAACTGAGATGGGATTAATTACGCCAACTAAAAGTTGTTCAATCTCTTTTTACCAATATTTGGGGCAGACCATATTAAATTAAAGCCAAGTCAGTGTGAATGGCCTGGAAAATTGATCCCTGTTTTATTAATACCGGCTCTTTGTGTCTGCATTTGATTGATGCAGAGACGAGGCGTGCAGCTAATTGATTGATTGATTGACATCGATTGCAATGCCAGGATAATTGAAGTCACCTATGATCACATAACGTTTCAGAGCCTCGACAATGTTTGGAGGAAACAAAAATCTCAGTGGTCGTCTGCCGAAAAAAGGTTTTCACGACACGCAAAATAAGTGGCACAATTAGATTGCACTTCAAAGTGCCAGCAGACATGCCGAAAATAGTTTCATTGGTTTAGGACATTTAGAAAATAGACAAAAAGCAAGGGCAATGCCATCACAACCATAAACAACAAACTAAGTCAATCTCAAGAAATTGCTATCTGAAATTATACCGACAAAATATTCAAAAAAAATAACATAATTTGATTGTGAAATGTACGCATGGCAAGAAATCAAACTAAAAATAACTGATATGTATTTTATAGAGTTGTCTGCCTCTTCAAACACTTGTTGAACCTTCCTTTTTGACTTTTTCCCCGGTAAGATACTTGTCACTCGTCAACCCTCAAATTGAAGTCTCACAGCTGGCAGCCATTGTGTAGCTGGAAAAAATAAAAAACACGCTGAACAAAAAATAAAAAAGACGGAATAATGTACAAATTACACAACAAGAAGCTTAGAGTTAGCATATGTCTCGTGGGTGCATTTATGGCCTCAAGTATGTATTTGCATATGATAAACAGTAAGCTGAACTTTCAAAGAATCGGGCGTCCTTACATTAACAATATTGAAAGCATCAAGCCACGAGAAAAACATTTAGAAATACCAAAAAAACAGAACAGAAAAACCGGCAGGAACAAACAAGGCCTAATTGTATGTGCTCCACACACAAATAAAGCCTGTTCTCTTGGATGGGATGTTTTAAACGAGGAACATTTTCGTACCAGTACATATAATGTAAGTCACGTCGAGCATATCAGCATCAATAGCCACAAAGCGCAGCATATCAATATACGGAGTACAGGGTGCCTTTTGGGAAAAGGCCTTGACGTGCCTAAAAAAAGGAGCGTGGCAAGGTGGAGCTCATACAATTTGGTTGACGATTCGATTAAAGTTCGATAAAACGAAGAAAGTCTGTATACATTCATACAAATTAAAACTTTGTTTTAAATTTAAGCTTTTATTTGCCTTGCCACCTAAATATTTGTGTTGGGTGTCCTCGAACGTTCACCCTGTGTTTTCTGCTTGCCCCCACCGTGTTTCGCAACCTCCCGCTCGCACACGCGTGCAAGACGTGGTCATTGTTATGCTGAGCCTTCTCTTTTCGTCTCATTCTAATGCTGCTTTCTTTGTGTGAGGACGAATGTCACTTTCACACATTCTGCCTTTCTCTCTCTGCCTTATTTGTTTGCGGTTTGGGAGAGGAAACATATGAGGCGGAAGAACGCGGGAGAACAAGAATAGCAACAGTTGTTTCCATTGTACTGCTCGGCATTGTTTTCCTCCGCATTCACACACTTTCCCGGGGAAATAGGCGAATTTATGGAGCATCAAGAGATTAAAAACTACGTCTTAGTTGTCTTAAAATAAATAAATAGATCCAGTACCTTAACAAGAGGACCCCTCATTTTTGGAATATTCGGGGACTTTCCTTAGTTCGTGTGCTCTTACGTTACTACGCAGCGATTCTTTAGTTATAGCCATTTTTATGCGCTTAAATTGAAGATAACTAACAGTGGGGGAGGTTTTCGATTTGGCTCGGGAAACAGACTTGCGAATGGGGATGGGCTCACAATTTTTTTTACTTGTTGCTTGCGTCGCTTTTCAACATGTTGCTGCTTGCTACAGTGTGGGTACGTGAACACTTCTGGGTGAGACTTCAACCTTGCACCATTGCAGGACGAATTGAGTTATCAAGCTAACCGACTAGTTGAAAATACTATTTATATGTTTTCCGCTCTTGAGTTTTCCACAAAATGATTGATGTCAATGCTCTGGTGTCTCCCTCCCCAAAATCACATGGAATTATTTTGCAATTTTATACCATAGCCGGGAATATATTTATTTGTCTGATCGGAAGATCAAAATGGAGAGTTCCGAAAAAAAAGTCCTGTCCTGTTTGGGCTGGATTCAAGGGTGTGGTCCGTGCGGCATCCAGTTTACCCCCTATTGCGCCTGCGGTTGGCCCTCCTCCGGGCGGCAGCCCTCCTCCTCCTCCTGGCAGCGGCCCTCCTTCTCCTGCGCGCGGCAGCCTTCCTGCGGGCGGCCTTGCTTTTCTTGGAGCTCGAGGAGGTCTTGGTGCTGGAGGACGAGGACGAGGAGGTGGCCGAGTCGCTGCTGGCGCTGCTGGCTTCGGTGGTGTCCGAGGAGGAGGATGAGGTCGCGGCGGTGGTGGTGGTGGTCGAGCTAGAGTCGTCCGCAGTCGCGCTGGTGGAGGACTCGGTGGAGGTGGAGGACTCCGTCGAGGAGCTAGTGCCAGTAGCAGTAGCACTGCTGCAGTAGCTCAGGGTGCAGATCAGGACGACTGCCAAAAGCAGCCAGTGAAGCTTCATTTCGACTCAAAGTTCTGCAAAAGACTGGATGGCGTTTTGCAGCCCGTGCTACCCTATTTATACCAGGGTCTCCCTGCGTCATTGAGGCCTAACAATGGACACAAAACATACGTTTGAAGAAATCCATTTTTTGGAGACACCACGCTTCAAGAGGTGTTTGCACAAATGCCAGATATTTACCTAGCCAAAACTTTAATTTTATAAGGCAAACACGCGCCAACGTAGTTCAAAATTCTCTTTATTTACTACTTCTGATATCTGAGGAATCTTCATTCATCAACATTTTAGAAGAAATTCATTGATCGAATTACTCCAATTGTAGTCTAAGGCAAAGTAAATTTATTTCAGATTGCCTGGCATTGAACGTGATCAATAATAAAAGAAAACACATTTAAGAATACTCACATATGTTCTACGGTTGTGTATGAACTCTTTGAATTGTGTATGCTCTCAAATTATTTATCTTGGGATTGTAAGCGCTTAATTTGGACGACGTTTGTAAATCACTTTCGGGTAAATATTTGCCGGAAGCTCTCAAAATTTCCACGCACAATTGTGGAGCTAATTAAGTACCCTGTCCCCAATTTGTTAGCTCATAAGAGGTGCAAAATTGTGCACGTAAACATTCCCCACTGCTCGAAACCGTGAACGGTCTTTGGTTTCTGGATTTCCTTTAATAACGACCAATCAATCAATGCGCATAATCAATTACTCATTAGGCGCAGATTGGCAGAGATCTTCTGGGACAGGCGGTCCTGGATTCCTCTGCCGACTGGAGTCGCGAGAAAAATACGGATAAATCGAGATATCGGCCACTCTGTTCCAATCCATTTGGTGTCAACTGGTTTTCATCCCTGTATTCGCGCATTGAGTTGTTCCAAACCAACAGAAACAGAAACAAACTGGATATAAGTCCCCATACTTCGTCGTTACTGACTGTGAACTCAAGCTAAAAAACAGCTTTCGAATCTGTTAATTTTTTGGTTGAATAAGTAACCACGGGTTGAAGCATTATTTTGGTACAGCTTACTTAATTAATTGTCCGGGAGCTTTGTGCGGTGTGGAATGCGGTAGAAATATACAAAGGATCTTAGCCCTCGATTTTCCAATTCGAATGAATGTGTTCCCATCTATACGCTGTTGATGTATTTTTCCGCTTATCATGTATATAAAGGGAGTTTTTCGGGGCGTTTGCAAATTTCCCGATATAAATCAAGAGCAAATACATTTTTAAGGTCGTTGGAATTTTTTAGGAAAAATTAATATTTAATTAAAACCCAAAATATTTGATTATTTTTTTGTAGACGTTCAGCCTCCAATTAAACTTTTTGGCAAACATTAAGTCACCGTTTTTATTGCATATCTAAAGGCACATTTAACTGTCGCACCGCAAACTATGCTCTAATGCTTGCTCAATAATGATTAACCTTAATTTTGTTCAAGTGCTGAAAGCTTTCGTAGTCGCGACCACGAGAAGTATTTTTACTTTAAACATCGTGGAAGTATTTTCGGTTTTTCTCGCCCCTTTCTTTCTCAACATTTTGTGTAAGGTTAATATGGCACCGGACTTGTATATTTTTCCCAGCCCTTTTTGCTTAAAAGTTTTGGGCAATAACTTTTCCTACTGGGGCTTCTGTGCGTTTCACTGAGGTTGATTTTTCGGTAATGGTACTTAATGAAAGCACTAGCATGGAGTTTTAAGGCCATGTCGAAAACATATTTAATGCATCGTTGCATTTTAGATCACTTATGAATAATTATTTCCGTTTTCGCATTTAAAATATGTTTTTATACCCTTGCCGAGGGTATTATAATTTCAGTCAGAGGTTGCAAAGCATTGTAGGAGACACCGCAGACCCCACAAAGTAAATATATTCTTGATCAGCATCACGATCTGTACGTCTGTTCGTCTGTCCTCCTGTCCTCCTGTCTGTTTCTGCGCAAACTTGTCTCAGTTTTAAAGCTATCTTGGTAAAATTTTCCCAAAAGGTGTGTAGTTATTGCACGCAGTATATAAGTCGGAACGGGCCGGATCGGGGGAATATATCGGATAGCTCCCATACGAGAGATTGAAAACAAGAAATATGTTTTAAATTTAATTTTTTAAATTTAAATTATTAGAGCTTTTGTATGACATCTCTTAAAGGTATGCCATAAATTATCGAATATAGTTTCAGTTCCCAGTGTTTAACGATTTAAACGGTTGTATAAACAATTTTGCGAAAATTTGCAAATTTTTGTTTAACCAAGAACGGTTGCTTTGTTTTGGGTGACACAATTTTGCAGTGGGGTACGGCGTCTGGTTTAAGATCAGTTCCAAAACGTGGTATAAAAGCAGGTGCCGGATCTTGAAGATAGCATCAGTTGCAAGACACCCACTACTAGCCCACCATGAAGATCACCCTAGTACTCGTAGCCCTCAGCTGTGTGGTGATCCACCAGTCGGAGGCGCAGTCCACCACCACCACAACTTCCGCCGCGGCCACCACGACCACCACTTCCGCTGCGGCAACCACCACCACCACTTCGGCCTCGGCCACCACCACCACCACTGCCTCCTCCTCCGATACCACCACAACCACTACCGCCTCCTCTTCCTCAGGTGGGACGAAGAGAAGGACAACGTACGAAAGAAGGAGATGCAAACCCAAAGTGGTCATCCAGCGGAAGAAGAAGTGCGGCTGCGGTAAAAGCAGTTGCGGTAAAAGCAGCTGCGGTAAAAGCAGTTGCGGTAAAAGCAGCTGCGGTAAAAGCAGTTGCGGTAAAAGCAGTTGCGGTAAAAGCAGCTGCGGTAAAAGCAGTTCCGGTAAAAGCAAGTGCAAAACCTGCCAGTCCTGAGCCCTGAGTCCTGAAGAATCCATGATTAACCCTCGACAATCCCGTTGCTAACCCCCAAAAAGTCAATTTTTTGTTATAGTCTTTAAGCATAGCACTATTGTTACCGTTAGTTTTCTAAGGCAAATATTAAATAAAATTCAAGAGAAATCTATTTAAAATATGCAGGAAAAACTTGGAGATCAAAGTACTGATAATCGAGAAAGTACTGATAATCCTTATAATCCTTATATCCGCTCCTTAAAGTTAATTTGAAGTTAAGTTTTATAATTTCGTAAACTTGTCATACAAATGCTTTTATGAATGGCAAGGAGTTTGTTTTAGAGTAATTCTCATTTGTGAGGCCAGCTAGTTAACAGTGTTCCCCAAATGCATAATTTTCTTACCAGTTTTCACCAACTCTAAACAAGGAGAGTATTCAGAGTAGACCGCCAGCACCTTACACCTTACAGGAGCTCGAAATTAATACATCTTTTAATTAAACCTTTTAGTGTGTTTAATTATTTGCCAAGGGTGGCGTATTCCCCCCATAAACAGAGAGAAAGCCCTCTTTCCTTTGCAATGAAATAAATAAATAATTTTATTTATTTTTTAAATAATTTTAAAATAATTTTTAAAGTAAATAATTTAAAATAATAATTTACTATCTGCCAATTATCAACGACGGAGTAGGAGAGAATGGAAAAAAATATCACCCCGTTCTTTTTGATCATATTGACTCTATTTCTTCCAGATGGTGTTTTCTAACTACTATTGAATTTCAAATTGAATTTGATCTAAATCAGATCATTTCGGTGCCAGCCTATGTCCGATTTCTTAAAATTTTGTTCGTATGATATTTGTATATTAAAATTTATTTTTACATGTCTTTTTGTTATAAAAATAAATATTATATTAAAATATAACAGAACCTAAATATTTACTTTTAATTTATTTTACGAATCGTCTATAATATTCGTCCGGTTTTAGTACAATAAAGTTTGTATGTCAACTGTTGTAAAAATTACTTTATTGTCGGTTCTTCGATTGCATTTAAAAACAAGCACGTTGATAATACGTTTCGACGGGTTCTAGAAAATCTATATGATAAAGTCCTTCGAGTTTAGCCCTTGATTTTTTAAATGAAAACTGGTTTGCGTAGAAACAGGTTGAGGAACCGACTATTCTGTCTATATCGACCCGAAAACCCGAAAATGAAAACATTATTTATTTTAAAGCACTATCTATTCTGTTTAAACAATTGTGCAAAAATAAAATTTGCAAATTTTTGTTTGGCTAGAACGGTTTCTTTATTTAGGTAACATAATTTTGCAGTGGGGGCACGGCGTCTGGTTTAAGACCATTTCTAAAACGTGGTATAAAAGCAGGTGCCGGATCTTGAAAATAGCATCAGTTGCAAGACACCCACTACTAGCCCACCATGAAGATCACCCTAGTACTCGTAGCCCTCAGCTGTGTGGTGATCCACCAGTCGGAGGCGCAGTCCACCACCACCACTACTTCCGCCGCGGCCACCACGACCACCACTTCCGCTGCGGCAACCACTACCACCACTTCGGCCTCGGCCACCACCACCACCACTGCCTCCTCCTCCGATACCACCACAACCACTACCGCCTCCTCTGCTGCCAAGAAGACAAGGAGAAAGACCACGCAGGTGGTAAGCAAACCCAACCTGGTCGTCACGCGGACGAGCACCAACAAGTGCGGCTGCGGTAAATGCAGTTGCGGTAAAAGCAGCTGCGGTAAAAGCAGTTGCGGTAAAAGCAGCTGCGGTAAAAGCAGTTGCGGTAGCAGTAGCTGCGGTAAAAGCAGTTGCAAAACCTGCCAGTCCTGAGCCCTGAGTCCTGAAGAATCCATGATTAACCCTCGACAATCCCGTTGCTAACCCCCAAAATGTCAATTTTTGTTATAGTCTATAAGCATAGCACTATTGTTACCGTTAGTTTTTTAAGGCAAATATTAAATAAAATTCAAGAGAAACCTATTTAAAATATGCAGGAAAAACTTGGAGATCAAAGTACTGATAATCGAGAAAGTACTGATAATCCTTATATCCGCTCCTTAAAGTTAATTTGAAGTTGAGTTTTATAATTTCGTAAACTTGTCATTCAAATGTTTTTATGAATTGCAAGGAGTTCGTTTTAGAATAGTTCTCATTTGTGAGGCAACCCAGCTAACATAGTTTCCTCAAATGAAAAACTTTCTAACTTGGCAGCACACCAACTCTAAACAAGGAGAGAAAGCCGCCTTTTCCTTGCAATGAAAGCCAAAATCAAACGATCGCCTCATCGTTATTAAAATTCTCTTAAATCAGTTGTTTACTATCTGCCAAATTTTAACGACAGAGTTTTGCGATATTCAGATTCGCTTTCAGAATATTTCGTTGCCACCCTTATATTCGATTTCTTAAAATATTTTTCGTATGATACTTTTGTGTTAAAATAATTTTTACATTTGTAAACTTTTCTTTCTGTTGTAAAAATAAATATAATATTTAAATATAAAATAATTTTTACATTTGTAAACTTTTCTTTCTGTTGTAAAAATAAATATAATATTTAAATATAACATAACCTAAATATTTAATTTTAATTTATTTTACGAATTGCTTATTATTATATTTGTCCGGTTTTAGTACAATTAAGTTTGTATGTCAACTGTTGTAAAAATTTTTTTATCGACGGATCTTCGATTGCATTTAAAAACAACCACGTTGATAATACGTTGCGACGGGTTCGGGAATATATTTGATAAAGTCCTCCGATTTTAGCCGTTAATTTTTTGATGAAAAAAGGTTTGCGTAGAAAGGGGCCGTCCATAAACCTCGTGACGCTCCTAGGGGGGTGGGGGGTTCATCAGAGAGGTTTGTTGTAAGGAGGTTGTAATTTGTATATGTGATGCGTCACATAGGGGGGGGGAGGGGGTCCAAAAAGCCAAAAATTAGCGTCACGAGGTTTATGGACGGCCCCAAACAAAATGAGGGACCGACTAACATGTCTATATCGACTCGAAAACCCGAAAATGAAAATATTATTTATCTTAAATAATTAACCATAACTGGTAAAGCACTATATATGCTGTTTAAACAATTGTGCAAAAATAAAATTTGCGAATTTTTGTTTAGCCAAGAACGGTTGCTTTGTTTTGGGTGACACAATTTTGCAGTGGGGCACGGCGTCTGGTTTAAGATCAGTTCCAAAACGTGGTATAAAAGCAGGTGCCGGATCTTGAAGATAGCATCAGTTGCAAGACACCCACTACTAGCCCACCATGAAGATCACCCTAGTACTCGTAGCCCTCAGCTGTGTGGTGATCCACCAGTCGGAGGCGCAGTCCACCACCACCACTACTTCCGCCGCGGCCACCACGACCACCACTTCCGCCTCGGCAACCACCACCACCACTTCGGCCTCGGCCACCACCACCACCACTGCATCCTCCGATACCACCACAACCACTACCGCCTCCTCTTCCGCAGTTGCGAAGAAGAGAAGGACAAGGTACAAGACTACGAGATGCAAACCCAAAGTGGTCGTCCAGCGGAAGAAGAAGTGCGGCTGCGGTAAAAGCAGTTGCGGTAAAAGCAGCTGCGGTAAAAGCAGTTGCGGTAAAAGCAGTTGCGGTAAAAGCAGCTGCGGTAAAAGCAGCGGCAGTAAAAGCAGCTGCGGTAAAAGCAGTTGCGGTAAAAGCAGTTGCGGTAAAAGCGGCGGCAAAAGCAGCTCTAAAAAAAGCCGCAGCGGTAAAAGCCGTAAGTCCTAAGACTTAAAACACCAGGACGACCAATTCACCCTTGACGAAGCCGATGCTCACCTCCAATGAGACCTCTAGATCCATTTTTTTGTAGCTTAGCATTGTTGTTATCCTTAGTTAGTAAAGCAAATATAAAAACAATTTCAAGATGCGCGTGTTTTAATCCATTCAGAGAGTACTATAATTTTTGCCAGAAGATTGCATCCCAGTGGGGGAACCACTTTTGACCCTTATTGACCTTGTGAAGCCGAAAATAGGCACTTTAAAAAAAAAACATTTGAGAAAACAGTTAAAGATAAAGCGGAAATTTGTTTCTGTATTTGAAACTTGAAAATTTATTTTGCGAAAAAAAATTATGAAATTGAAAAATTAAAAAAAAAGCGGGAGGGGGGAGTTATTCAGCCAAAACGGGTAATCGGAAACACAAAAACCGAAAATATTCTTAAAGTGTACAGTATTGTGCATAAAAAGAACTAGGATCAGAAAAAAAATAAATAAAAATTGCAAAAGTTATTAGCTTTTGAAAAAAAAATACGATATTTTTCACTAATTATTTTCTCAAATCAACAGATTTCAATATTTTTGGATAATCCTAGTTAATTTGTTAAACGAAACAATTAAAAACATTTAAAAAAAAAATTTGATGACGATTGGTCAATGCCAACGCCTTCAATCACTTCCGTAAGGTCCGAAAACGTGGTTTTGAGAAAAACGTTTTTAAAGTTTTGGCTTCAGATGACCGGTGCTCGACATGTGCTCTATGTAGAGGTCTGTAAATCTTGTAATTTTTCATATTCTGATCTGAAATTTTTTTTTTTTGAAACATATATGTATCTATACGATAAGCCAAAAAAAAATTGATTTTTTTTCCCCTCAAGGTGAGAACCTGCCTAAAGCGTCTATAGAACTAAGGCTGTCAAAGAAAAAATACGAAAACAAATCTGAATATTGAAAATCTCTGTCGTTAATAATTGGCAGATAGTAAATTGTTAATTTTAAAAAATGCATTAACGATGAAGCGATCATTTGATTTTGGCTTTCATTGAGGGCTTTCTGTCCTTGTCAAGAGTTGGTGTGCTGCCAAGTTAGAAAGTTTTTCATTTGAGGAAACTATGTTATCTAGCTTGCCTCACAAATGAGAACTATTCTAAAACGAACTCCTTGCAATTCATAAAAGCATTTATATGACAAGTTTACGAAATTATAAAACTCAACTTCAAATTAACTTTAAGGAGCGGATATAAGGATTATCAGTACTTTCTCGATTATCAGTACTTTGATCTCCAAGTTTTTCCTGCATATTTTAAATAGGTTTCTCTTGAATTTTATTTAATATTTGCCTTAGAAAACTAACGGTAACAATAGTGCTATGCTTATAGACTATAACAAAAATTGACATTTTGGGGGTTAGCAACGGGATTGTCGAGGGTTAATCATGGATTCTTCAGGACTCAGGGCTCAGGACTGGCAGGTTTTGCAACTGCTTTTACCGCAGCTACTGCTACCGCAACTGCTTTTACCGCAGCTGCTGCTACCGCAACTGCTTTTACCGCAGCTGCTTTTACCGCAACTGCTTTTACCGCAGCTGCTTTTACCGCAACTGCATTTACCGCAGCCGCACTTGTTGGTGCTCGTCCGCGTGACGACCAGGTTGGGTTTGCTTACCACCTGCGTGGTCTTTCTCCTTGTCTTCTTGGCAGCAGAGGAGGCGGTAGTGGTTGTGGTGGTATCGGAGGAGGAGGCAGTGGTGGTGGTGGTGGCCGAGGCCGAAGTGGTGGTAGTGGTTGCCGCAGCGGAAGTGGTGGTCGTGGTGGCCGCGGCGGAAGTAGTGGTGGTGGTGGACTGCGCCTCCGACTGGTGGATCACCACACAGCTGAGGGCTACGAGTACTAGGGTGATCTTCATGGTGGGCTAGTAGTGGGTGTCTTGCAACTGATGCTTTCTCCAAGATCCGGTACCTGCTTTTATACCACGTTTTGGAACTGATCTTGAACCAAACGCCATACCCCACTGCGAAATTATGTTACCCAAATAAAGAAACCGTTTAAACCAAACAAAAATTCGCAAATTTAAGTTTTTGCACAATTGTTTAAACAGCAAAGATAGTACTTCTAACATTTTAATACATTATGTTTGCATATTGAAATTACACATTCTTAAATTTTAATGGTTATTTCATTTATTTTTTTAATATATCATATCATATATATGCTCCGATTTAAAATAATAAATATATTAATAATAAATAATAAAGTCCTGTCGCACGTGGCTTGCAAATCGAGTTGGCTAGAAAGCATATATCCCAAAAAAGTCATAGGATGCCTAGAAAAATTGTAATATAGTATGAAATAAAATTAGAAAGTTATGGTTCTTAGACATAGTATTACGAAAGTGAAATAAAAGCTTAATATATAAGTAAATATTTGACTAAACTTACTTGGATAAACTAATCCAAGAGCCAATAAAATATGTTCTCTTAAAAGTATGCAACATTATTTGACCCTTCATGCCAACTAACATGATTTTCTCTTCAAAAAACATAAGAAGTAAACACCATATAAACAGCTATTACCATATTCAAAATATTTGCTTACTTTCTGGTTAACTCAAGTCTGGTTAACTCTCAAGTCCAAACTCATTCGATATCACGTAGGTTTTTGTGGTTGTAGGGGTCAAATCAGAATAGATTATGTTGCGTAGTTGGCGGTAGGTTTGTTATGCGGAGTTCTGACGGATGAGATTGGTTCTGCTGCTGCTACAGCGGGTCCTGCGGCGGCGGGTTCCGTCTTCCTCTCCGCTGACGTCCTCGCTCTCCACGCTTCCTCTGTGCCGCCTGTGAGTTATCCGCATACCTGCTCCACCTCCTTGACAGATTGATACTCGTAACTCAATTGATTAATTTCAATGGGTATGTCAACTTTTGAAAGACTTATTTTGCATGTTTAATTTTTTAATACTTGACATCGACGTTCATGCTTATCATAATACAAATCACCAATTCAAAAGTAGTGTCATCCAAAATTTTTTCTTTTTCGGTTTTTCTCTCTCGTATAGGAGCTATTCGATATTCGTTCCGACTTATATACTGCGTGCAATAACTACGCAGCTTTTGGTAAAGTTTCAGCAAGATAGCTTTAAAACTGAGAGATTAGTTTACATAGACGTATTTCAATGCATATCGTGATGCTTATCTAAATATGTCGAACAAAATACATAAAGGCTAAACCACATCGAAGCTATAACGATTTTTCTATTAATTTTACATATTTTCGACTATTGTTCATATGGCAGCTATATATGTATGTATATACAGTGGGGAGCAAAAGTGATTCCAATGAACCAAATGAAACAAACTATTTTTTTCTCGATTACTTATTCAATTTGTAAGAAATAGACTTAAATACTACAATAACACAAGAAAAAATGTAAGAGATAGAAAAAAAAAAACAAAAACAAAAGGCATGTACTCATATTCACTCTGCTTTATTGAACGAAACGAAAACTTAAAAAAATTGATGGATAATGTGTGGTCTCTCAATACTGAAAGTAATCGTGCTTTTGGAAGTCGGTGAAGGAATCGATGTAGTCCTCGGGGTGATAGTCTAGGCTGTTCTCGACGAGATCCGACTCCGTGAAGTCCTCGACCTTGTAGAAGAGCTTGTAGAACAGCAGCCAGGGCAGGAGAGTCAGCAGCCGTTTCCAAGCCATTGTCTTTCGCTTGGAGCCGCAGCGGTTTCTCCGACGTCCCACTCAGAACTAATTAGGGGGAGTGAGCGCCAAGTTGAGGTGGCTCCACCAGCCATCAGCCAGCAGCGCAGCCAGGATGTGGGTCAGTTTGCGCAGCTGGCGCCTGTCCCTGTAGAAATGGCAAATACGGGCAAATATGTGGCTAGCCCACTTCCCACATCCACAAAGCCAGCTAGGTGGAATACTTTCAGGCGGCGGAACCAGCTGGAGTGGCAAAAAAACAGGGGCCTTCTCGGGGGAACAGAAGCTGTTGGCCAAGTGAAGCTGGAGTGTTCGGTGAAAACTGTGCACTGTTGAATTTTAGTAGTTTTTTTCGCAATCATTTGGGTTCCTCAAAGGGGTTAGGATCAATATACTCGCCTATTGCACTTACAAGTTGCTAAACTCCGCTTTCCCTTTCTCTCGTTGCAGATCTCCGCATGAAAGATAGCTCCCAGTCCAAAGGAGAATGATGCGTTTGGCGCGGCTTGCGCTAGATTTCTCGTTTAAAAAGAACGCGGCCAAGGTGGAAGGGATAGGATTTATTCTTCATAAAAGCTTTTAGAAAATCGTTGAAAATATTACGATCAATCAGTTCAATAGAACAAGCCCTCAAAATGGCACTCGAATCGAAATTGAATGAATACCTTTTTATGTTGCTCCCGGTCCCAGTTCTATTTATGTTTATCTCATCTTATTCGTACACTGGCCAAGCAGAGTACTTGCCCAATTCCTAAGGGTTACGCCCCACTGATTGCTCCGAACTTGTTTGTGTGCACTTCCAGCATCGCGGCAGAGGCAGAGGCAACGAAAACGGAAGCGGCAGCGGCGGCGGAAGCGGAAACGGGACCGGAACCGGAAACGGCCAGGGGTTAAGTGGCAGCTGCAGTGCCAACGGCCTGGCAGCCACTGGCGGCGTTGGAGGGGGCGGCGGAGGCGGAGGCGGTGCGAGTAGGAGTGGCAAAGGCAGAGCCAAGGGCAGCGGCGGTGGGGGGAGTGGCAAGCGGAAGTCGAAGACAAGGACAAAGTGCTTCGGTGGCACAGTGTTTCGGTGTTGCCTCCCTTGTCGCGGGGGCGGCTCCGCAGCCCCCGCCACAAGTCCGCCCCACACACCCGCCCAGTCGCCGGACGAGCTCAAGGTCAGCCCGAAGGACAGTAGGCCGGAGGGGCCGCAGGGGCTCCTGGAGCGGGCCACCCAGGAACGGGAACGGGACAACAAGGAGGTTCTGCTGCTAAACCGCGCCGGATCTGCGCTGGACCTGTACGGCGGAGCCAAGAAGCACTCGCTGGCGGACACGATCGACACCTCGGCGACCACCCCGATCTCCCTGAAGACCCTCATAAACGACGTGGACGAGGAGCTGGACCAGCAGCTGAGCGCGGCGGACATAGCAGCGGCCAGCTTGGCCAGCGGTCTGGTGGCCCGCCGAGCGGAGCCGGAGACGCTCAGCGACGCCAGTGTCTCGCCCACCGCGGTGGTGCAGCAGCAGCAGCAGCATTTGCAGCACCCCCAATCGCAGTCGCTGGCACAAACACAAGCACAAGCACAGCCACAAGCGCACTCAGTGCCCAGCAGCGGCAGCATCCTTAGTCAGGTCACACTGTACAGCGGCAGCAACCCCGCCTCGAACCAGCCAGTCCAGAGTTCGAGTGTTGCTCCTAACCAGAGCCAAAATCAGAATCCGAATCAGAATCAGAATCAGCAGAGGTGCAGCTGCCAACCGCAGACTTCACCGCTGCCCCACATCAAGGAGGAGGAGGAGTCCGAGCAGGCCAACTCGAAGCAGCAGGCGTCTGGCAAGGACCAGCAGCCGCCGCCTCCGCCGATCACCATAGCCAGTGGCTACTGCGGCAGCTGCGAGAGCGTCCACCACTCGTCGGCCACCTCGTCGTCGGGCGGCACAGTGCCCACTGGCAGTCAGCCGCCGCAGGAGTACATTGCAGGTAATGTGTCCCAATCAATGCTAGTTAGTGTGTCAATATGTACTGGTGCACCCACTGACGAACGTTTCCATTTCCGTTTCCGGTTGCAGGTACCTCCTCGACGCCCTCGCCGCGCATCAAGCTCAAGTTCCGCAAGCCGCACAAGTCCTGCTGGTCACGCATCGTCCTCGCGCCGATCGGGTCGGCGGGCGGATCCTCGTCGGCCACCACCGTGATTGGCAGCAACTCGAACGAGACCTTGGCCTCCAGCAGCACCACCGGCGGCACTGCCACCACCACCCAGAACAGCAGCAGCGCCAGCGTCGCGGCGCACCACCGGCTGACCTCCTCGTCGGCCTCCGCGCTCGCCTCCTCGCACCCCAGCAACTCGCAGCTGCTGCCCACCAGCAAGATGCAGGCGGAGCAGGGCTCGATCGGCGACCTGCAGAAGTACCACAGCCGGTACCTCAAGAACCGTCGCCACACGCTGGCCAACGTTCGGTGAGTCACACACACTTTGTCCTTTGTGAAATAAGTGCGGGATTCCCCTGGTTGTGGGTGTGGGTGTGGGTAGGGTCACAGTCTGAGCCTCCAATGCGGAAAGGGGGTAAAGATCGTTTATGGAGAATTAATGACAACGTCCTCCTTCATGGCATATGAGCCACCCCTGCTGGTTCCCCCTGCGAAGCCCCTAATCAGCTGCCATTGAAACACAATGGAAACTTCAAATGGGTCGAGAACAAAGCCAAACTTGGGCGAAAGCTGCAAAAATATTCGTTCGCCTGGTTTGCAGAACGAAGCCCAACTAATTATTTCGCTTTTTGGCAATGTTTGCACAACTGTTGGTAAAGCGAAATCCCCGTCGCGCTGACCCATGCGTCATGAAAGCCGGGCTGCAAAGCCGAGGGCGACGGGAGCCACCAATCAGCGCCCTTAGTGGAAATCAAATTGCAGTCACTCGACGTAATCGAATTAGAGAAGTTAAGGCGACAGAAACTTTGAGCCACCGCAGGAAGTGTTCCTGCGAAGGAGAACCGAACTGTTGGGCCCAAGTAACTAATACGGCCTGGATATTGGACAGGATTGGGGTGGTGGGCGAAGTGGGGGCTCTGTTTCGGAAGCGAGTCATCGACACTCGTGGTGATTGTAGCGATTATACCTTGTGCTGCATCGTTTGGCAGGTGCTTTCCTCTTGCCATAGTCCTACTGTCACATCGCTGGCTAGTTTGCAGCATATTCCATGGCATTTTGTATTATAGGACGGCTTTCGGAGCTGCTTCATAAAGCAACACAATGTTCTGTAGTACCTAGTGCAGCTGCCCCGTTGCAACGAGTTTCATCAAGTAAATACGAAAGCTTGAACACCAGTTAGTTATTGAATCTTGAAAAAAAAAAGTTATTTATTAGGCATTCGGTCCGGATTTGAGGTGTTGAGTGGGTTGTCTAGGGGAGCTGCTGGTCTATCCTCGTCGCCTGGCGTTGTTCTTGCGCCGGTTGTTGCTGCGGTTCGTGCGACGGTTGTTGTTCTTCTTCCTGCGGTTGTTGGCGGCCCTCTTTTTGCTGTTGCTAGCCTTCTTCTTGTTGTTTTTGTTGGCCCTCTTCCTGTTGCCACTGGCCCTGTTCCTTCTGTTGCTGGCCTTCTTCTTTTTTACCACGGGAGCTGAAGTGGTTTCGGTTTCGTCCGTCTCCGAATCCGAATCCGAGTCTGAATCCGCGTCTGAGTCTGAGGAATCCAAATCACCGGAGTCGGCAGCGTCATCGGACGACCCGGCATCCACGTCGGAGCTGCTGGCGGTGTCATCGTCGGACGAGCTGGAGCTGTCCGCCGAAGAGGCTTCCGTCGTTGAGGCCACCGTGGACCCTGCTGCAGTGGAGGACTCGGAGTCGGTAGCTGCACCAGCTCCCGAGAGCAGGACAACAAAGAGCCCCAGGCACAAGAAAGCCAGCGTTTGCCTTGTCAACTTCATCGCGGCACTATCATCCGTATATCTCTGGCAGATCGTGATAATCTATCGAGCCATTTATAGTCGCAGCTCCAGGCCCGCTTTATTTGCGCAAGCGAAGGCCAAATCTGCCGGGTAAAACGCCAAATAACAATGGAGCGGTGATTGGTCTTCGTTGTTGGCGGCATTAGGATCGAAAAATGTGCAAATACACGAGTGTTGTATATCTGGTGGGGTTGGCCAAGCAAATAGGTTTACCCACGTACAAGAAGGACAATTGGGAATGTGGGTTGGAGAACAGGTCATCCTAAATTGGTCTGTTATACAAATTTCACTTGAACCCCCTTACTTGGTATTCAAAAGTGAAGCAGAAAATACGCTGTTGAAACAACTAGCACGCAATTTTTCTACAACTCCAACAACAATGAAAATTAAAATAACGATCAAAATGGCAATTAAGACGTGGAAGACTCTAACAGCTGCTGTTAAGTAAACTTCAGTTGGTGTTTTTGTTAAGTTCGTTTAAGTCAAACCGGCGGGCCAAAATTGGAAAACAGACCTTTCCACTTTGCAAATATTTGTGGAAGTACACCGCGCAAAATTTGTTTATCCCATATCAAAGCAAAAATTAGGTTCCCGATTTCTTTTGGTATTTCTTAAGAAATATGCAGAGAATCAACGTTTTTATAATTGAATCAAATGTGTTACACAAGGCCTTTTTCGGTGTCATTGACTTTAAGGGTTTACTTTTAAGTCCCATAAAATTTTTTTGTAAACATTTTTTTAAAGTGAGACCCAAACCTCAAGTGCAGTGGATATATAAAGGCCATGCCCCGGTGTTCAGTGCAACAGTGAACATGCATTCCTTTGTGTTTATTGGTCTTCTTGTGATGGTTTGGCTATCCCTAGCCTGCTCAACTCGGACAACATCCGAGCGGACTACCACTGCGCGGACTACCACTGCGCGGACTACCACTGCGCGGACTACCACTCCGCGGACTACCACTCCGCAGCAAACCACGAGGGCAACCACCACGCGAACGGAATCTACGGATTCCTGTGGTCCCACTTGTAGTACTTTGCCGCCACCCACTGAACAAACGACATGCAGCACTGAACCACCCACTTGCAGCACTGAACCACCCACATGCAGCACTGAACCACCCACTTGCAGCACGACAACACCTACATGCAGTACTGAACCACCCACTTGCAGCACAACAACACCTACTTGCACCACTGAACCACCCACTTGCAGGACAACAACACCTACTTGCATCACTGAACCACCCACTTGCAGCACGACAACACCTACATGCAGTACTGAACCACCCACTTGCAGGACAACAACACCTACTTGCACCACTGAACCACCCACTTGCAGGACAACAACACCTACTTGCACCACTGAACCACCCACTTGCAGCACGACAACACCTACATGCAGTACTGAACCACCCACTTGCAGCACAACAACACCTACTTGCACCACTGAACCACCCACTTGCAGGACAACAACACCTACATGCACCACTGAACCACCCACTTGCAGCACAACAACACCTACTTGCACCACTGAACCACCCACTTGCAGCACAACAACACCTACATGCACCACTGAACCACCCACTTGCAGGACAACAACACCTACATGCACCACTGAACCGCCCACTTGCAGCACAACAACACCTACTTGCACCACTGAACCACCCACTTGCAGCACAACAACACCTACATGCAGTACTGAACCACCCACTTGCAGCACGACAACACCTACATGCCGTACTGAACCACCCACTTGCAGCACAACAACACCTACTTGCACCACTGAACCACCCACTTGTAGCACAACAACACCTACATGCAGTACTGAACCACCCACTTGCAGCACAACAACACCTACTTGCACCACTGAACCACCCACTTGTAGCACAACAACACCTACATGCAGTACTGAACCACCCACTTGCAGGACAACAACACCTACTTGCACCACTCAACCACCCACTTGCAGCACAACAACACCGACTTGCACCACTGAACCACCGACCTGCTCTCCATCTACTGAACGTCCCACAGTGCCCTGCGGACCTACCTGCTCCACTTGGCGGCCTCCTAGCGAGGAGACCACGGCTGAAACCACTCAAGACACCACCGAGGAAACCACGGAAGAAAGCACCACACGAGACCGGTGCTCCCATGCAACACAGCGACCCCCTTGCCGAACAACCACCAGGCGACCACCGTGCGGAAAAACCACTAGGCGACCACCCTGCGGAAAAACCACCCGGCGATCGCCCTGCCCGAAAACCACCAGAAAGGCGGTGAACCACCACCCAGGGTCGGGATGCGGATGCAAGAGTCAGCAGCCGGCCAGGGGCTCCGGCTGCCACTCGAACTGCAAGCCGCAACCCCAATGCAAGCCGCAACCCAAGCCGCAGCCGAAGTCGTGTGGAGGCGCGAAGAAAGGCCAGAAGCCTCAGCCGAAGAAATGTGGTTGCTAGAGGGAGATGTGGTCAGCAGGTTGATGCCCCAAGTAGCAATCTGTAACGTTTGCAATCTTTTTTTTTTTATTAATATAATCATTCAAAGTACTTCCAAGCGTGTTCCTTTGACACTTTAAATCACCCAAAATAGGCAGCGAAAAATAATTTCTACGGTTTCGTCGGTCCTCTTCAGCTTTGCGTTTCCAAGGGGAATCCCATGTGCAGGCCACCTCCTTTCAACTTATTGGACACAAGTGGCCGAATACCGCCGACTTGCCGCATATCCTCAGATACCTGCCTCAGATCGCCTCGTTTTTGCTATTTGCACGCCACTTTGATGGCCGCAGCGAAGAAGAACTGGCTGACTGGCTGGCTGACTGACTGACGGGCTCTCAGCCTCTCGGGTTGGCGTGCCATTGGCAGGGGGAAGGGCAGGAGTTCGCGTCCAACCGGGGAAGGGCTCCCCGCAACGCCTCACGGCTCACTGCAGCTCCGTGAGTGCTAGTCATTGAACTTCAGCCTAATCTGCCCGGTTGGCTATCGGATATTTTTAGTGACAACTGGGAGGAGGGGGTTCCTCAAGCCAGAAATAACTGGCAAACGAATCGATGGAAAAACAGTGCTCAATAAGGGTATTTTTTGGTCAAGCCATGTGCACATGAAACCCAGGGAGAGTGCACATGGAACTTGCTTAGTGTGTTTACAAATAAATAGTGAATTTTGGTCAATTTTCAGCAAACCCATTTTTTGGATATTTCGAAAGAGCTTGTATCATACAAATTGAAAAAAATCGGCCAAAAAATAAAAAAATTTCTAATGTTGCAGCTTGATAGAGAAATAAAATATAAACTTTTAGGTTTGCCACTTTAAGATCTGATCAAAATTAGAAAAGTTGTGAACTTAGAATTTGTGAATTTTGGTCAATTTTCAGCGAACCCATTTTTTAAAAATTTCGAAAATCGAAAAAATTGGCCAAAAATAAAGTTTCTAATGATGCAATTTGATAGAGAATTAAAATGTAAACTTTTAGAGGTATGCAACTTCGATATCTGATTACAATTAGAAAAGTTATGGGCTTAGAATTAGTGAATTTTGTTATTTTTTCGATCTCTCCTATGGGAGCTATCCGAAATAGTCGGTCTGTTCCGACTTATATACGTCGTGCAATCAACACATAACTTTTGATAAAGTTTTCATAGAAACAGATCGATTCAGATCGTGATGCTTATCAAGAATATATATACTTCATGGGGTCGGAGGTGTCTCCTTCACTGCGTTACAAACTTCTGATTGAAGTTATGAACGAAATTCAAACAAAGCGTTAAGTATACGCCTCCGAACAGCTTTAAAATGTTAAAGAGAGCTTTGATGATTTGACCAAGAGCTTTTTACAACGTTGAATACGAATATATTCAGAACTTTCACCACGATAGGAGCAAAGCTTTGACAACCAAAGCTTTGCAATAACTAAATGTTTGTTCGCAAAACACTTCTTTAGCTGGTAAAGCAACCCTAAGGCAACGGCTGTGCTTTAAAGCTCATAGTAGAAAAAGGAAAAAGGTCCTGTGATCCCGCGGCGATTCTGAGAATTAAAAGGAAGTTGCCCTTGACATTTACTGTGGTCTCAAGGTCACTTTAAACCCTGCACTTGACATCCGTGGTTGCAACAGGACATATCAAAGGCTCGAGGTTCCTTTCTTGACCGCGAACAGCCCCTCAAGAGGACACAGCTCTGCCCAAAACAATAGCAGTGCTGGTGTGCTGGCAATTCAAAGCCACACTCTATAGAGCATTCAATTGCATTCTGATTAAATGACTGCTTAAATAACTTCAAATTGAAGACTATGCGAGTGCACTGAGTGCATTAGGAGTGGAATAAGGTTTCACTGTTTGGCCTGGCATGCCGTACATTTGCAACGCCAAATTAAGGCCCTGGCAGACCCTCTAAAAATAGCACCAATTGTCAACTGCACCAAAGGGGGATTGCGTCGGTTAGCCATTTGTTAACGCTGCCCCGGCATTAAACTTCATTTGGTGCTTGTGTTCTAAGCGCTGCTGTGCTTGTTTGCTCCTCGGTCTCGACCAAAGGTTACCCACAGGATGTGCGGGATGTACTGCACTCTGCTCCGCTCGTGCTCACTTTTTGAGTGGACTGTGAGCGCTGTGGTTGTCAGCTGTCAGGGGACTTGGCTAGCACAGGATATTGTGGTTGCAGGAGCAGAATAAGTCAAAGGTCTCCCTCCACAAATAATTTAACAAAAATGAAGTTCAAGTTAACCTCCAGCAGATCTGGCTTACCCAACTTGCGAACTTTTTAAATCACTTTGCGCTAATATAAATCCGTGCTTGAACCAGCCAAATTTAGGCCAAAAACCTTACAGGTTCCGAAGCTGCTGCTTTGTATGTTTCATTCGCATTCTTAACTGAATTATCTGAAAACGTTATTTGCTGGTCATCACTTTACATAAGTAATGATCCGAGCAAACATTTGTCTTCATAAAAAATTCTTGAAAAATACTGACTGCGTCTTGTTCCTGCCAATTTAATTAATAACCATTTTCTGCTTCTCTTTTTTCTCGTTTTAGGTGAGTTTTCCATATTTTTACAGTACTTTAATATCTGTAATGCGGCCTTTAATTCGTAAGTAGAACAGACAAATTAGTTCCTCTCGGGGAAGTCAAGGAAATATATTATTGTTTGTTCAAGTTATTATACAATTTTAAACTTGATATGCTTTTAGTGTTTAAGGTATTCTTAGCATCCATACTTATCCTATTTGGTTGCCTTTAAGGATCCTGAGGACCGATATGAATAATATATATATGCGAAATAAAAGGGGGTTCTTACTGTGACCAGTGTTAATTAGAAACAGGGAAATCGCTGTTCAGCTTTTCTTCTTTTTTCCTGCGTGTTCCCCACATGCTCTGCACCTCATACTCCTCATCTCATTCCGTCAATAATTGAGTGCTGCAGGGATAGTGCCGTCAATAGGCAGGGTTGGGCCAAAGGTCCCTCTCCGACATGTTCAATCAGTTTAATTGGCACTTTCAATTACCATCCGCGGGTTTCGGATAAAGGGGATGATGCTACAACATTATCTATGTATAAATAAGCAACTCAAGGGTTGAACTATTTCTGAAAAAATTTGCATTGAGGAGAAGGATACACTTAGTATTCGTTTGATACTCAAGAAAGCCACGTCACTCTCGAACTGGGTGCTACTTTATCTATTTAACTTAACTATTATAATAGACCTAATAAACTTCAGTTAATTATCAATCAAGGTGAGTTAATTGCCTTTGAACAAAGCGAAACACTTGCTCAAACCCAATTGAAATGGCAAAATATGAAATGAAAAGAGCGAGAGTCATCAAGAAGGGCAAACAGTTTCTAATACCAAAACGGAATTGACTCCAAAACTTCGCCTGCATAGGGGAGCTCAAAAGTAAGATGGCCGGTATTGTCACGGCTTTCTACTCTAGCTCCACCTCGTGGGTTTTAAATTCCCTGCAGCGGCCGATAAATGTTTGCTAATTTCGTTAATCATACGCCGCGTTGCCCAGCTCTCCAACCCGAAACAACCCGAAGTCGGGCCCATTGTTGTCTGGCGATGCCCGCAGGGCTTTCCCCACATCAGAAAGCATTCCCCATCATCGCGAGAATCACTTGCAGTCCAACTGCACTTTCGGCCGCACTTCTGGCCCACCTTCCGAGCTCCCCATTCCCAGTTTTCCGAGCCCAGCTGCCTGCCAACATGTTAGGCCAGCAACCAACAACCAGCGAGCAACAAGCAACATGTTGGCTCGGTCCCGGGCACGCACTATGGCCAACGGCCACTGAAAAGAGGCTAAATAAAAACATTGTTTGGCTTTTTCATTCATATTCATTTATTACAAATTCAGGGCGTATTTTAGCCAAAGCTTTCGCTCCGCATGAGTCCCTTAGTCTTAAGAGGCGCCTTCAATTTGAACAGTCCATTGAAAGAACTCTTTCGTTTGAGGCTCAATCGATTTTGTTCGTTTGAACCAAGAACCAAGAACGTTTGGGAAACGCTCTGGGAAGCACTGCCTGGCTTTTTGGGCCACCATTCCGGTCGTGTTTGAATCGAACCCCCAGCACCAGCACCAGCACAGCACACGGTGGTGCGATGGCCGGGCGACGTGGTTCGTGTCAACGCCGAATCAACCACCGACTGCCAGTCGGAAGCAGCTTATCGCGCCGCCCTGCCAGTTGCAAATCAGACCTCTGAGCACCAGCAACACCTCAGCGCAACAGCCGTCTCCCAGCGAGCCAAGCACGTGTGCCCCAGTGCGTTTCCGCCTCCGACAGCTTTTTTTCCAGTGTAACGTTTTCTTTGAGTGTGCCAGTGTGCTTGAGAAATAGAAATATAAAGAAACAACACAACAACCAGCCAAAGTGCACAACAGTTAATTGGAGTGGAGTGTAGTGAAGTGAAGTGACCGCCACAGAAACACTTGATCCCCGACTAAAACGGCTAAAACGTTGAAACGCCTAAAAGGCAGAAAACTTGTTGCAGGGCCCACAGCCTCTAAAAGGTAGCTCCGCATCGGAATCGGAATCGGAATCGGAATGGGAATCGAAGTCGGATATCGGATCGGGGGCGTTCGTCAGCCAAATAAGAATAGTCAAATGACAAAATGCCGTAAAAGAACACAGCGTATATAAAAATACAAAATAAATCGCGTCCATAGATTGTTATCAACGGTTTCCTAAGGCGATTCGCTGATTAATCGCGGGCCACAAGTATTTACTGTTTAAGGCAAAGCGAAATAAAAAAGAAACAGGTTGCCGGGGAGGGGGGAGCTGTCGAACATATTTTCCACACAAGATTTCAAGAGCAAGGAGTAGCTCGATGGTAAACCGTGAATAAGATTGAACCGCTTTTTTTGAAAACAACTGACGCCTTCGCAAAACTGAAAACTTCAGAGTATTTACAAACAAAAGTTCGAATGTTCCAGGCGAAAGGTTTTTGTTTTGTTTTAAAGTCTGGGGATCTTAAGACTTAACGATAAAATTTTGGAAATAACTGTCAATCACTTTAATGGTTATTATCTAGTTTAGACTCTGATTCAAGACCAAAACTTTGGATGAGTCAAAGAAACCACAATCACAATAGCTAGAAAATTTTTCATATCAGTTGCTATGGTCCGCGAAAGCGAGCAAATTTTGCGTAATAAACGCATAAAATTAATTAAAAAAGTGCCAATTCTGGATAGCAAGTGAAGGTAAAATCTGTTGAACCATGTAGACGCTGGGTATTCCGCTTTGGGGGACTTCTGAGACTTGTGTCGATCCGTTACGTATAAATTGTTTTGCCATTTATTTACATACTTTGTCCCCACTTAGTTAGACAGCGAAATGCGGTCGTCTGTCTAAGAATTTTTGGCAGCAATCAAAACCGCGCATATTGATGGCGAACAAAAGCAAACTGCCAGAATTAGTCTAAAGAAATTAACACATTTCGACGGGCTCTTGTGCGGCTGGCAAAACAGTTTAAGATCTGTGTTCGTGTATTTTGAGTACGTGAAAATAGCACACATGTAAGCGCCAGGTTGTTTTCAGCGGTTCTAATTTGCGGAGCAGTTGCTCCGACTTTAGGAAGTGTGATTTGAAGAGTAGAGTACATACATGTGGGAATTTATACAAATGTAAAATAAGGACGCTCCGCCAAATATCAGCTAAGTCAGACAGTTCTGGCATGTAGTCCATCTAGTGGCTGGTCTGAAATCCCAGATCTGGCCGATAATCCCCCAAGTATGGCAGGGCCACATAATCATCGTGCTATCTTGGCTTAAAATTAATTTTGCTGGCAACAATACGGCGACGAGCACAAAACCAAAAACACAAAACTTATTTATAAAACTGAGCAGTCGAGCGGATGAATATGCCGCTCCACTGCCCGCTCCCGTATTGTACTCATTTTTTCGGGCCCTGAAACGAACGGAACGGTAAAAATAAACCAAAAACCGAGCGCTGACGAGACGAAAACTTTTTTCACGAAAACAAAATCATGAAAAGTCACAAAGGTGTAAAACATATAAAATTACTTTCCCCTTGTTTCCATTGCTCGTTAACTCCTCCTGCAGCAGAGATAACTACATAGAACCGGGAGAAACTCCAGAGAAACGGAATAAACAAAACTAAGGCTAAAAAAGTAATTAAAACTAATTGTGCCGTAAGTCAAGTCGGTGGGCTTACAGCCCAGACTCCCGAAAAGACTCGGAAAAAACCACACAAAATAAGGAAAACAACGAACCACCGCACAATACAAGGCGAACAGGACAGGACCCACTGAACTCGAAAGGTAAACCGGAGTTATCCGATTAATAATTTACACGACACACAATCTTTCCTCATTGCTGCATACTTTAGGCATCCTTCAGAGCCCCAATAGGGTATTCATATGGCCACCCCTTGATCGCACATTTCTCGATAGTCAATTGCACTTGATTCGATTTGCGGTCGAATTGCGCGCAGCCACTCTACTTGGTTTAAAATATTTGACGTACTTTCAATGTTAAAAAGGCGAAAAGGAGGGGAATACTAGTGGGATGTTCGCCTCAATACTCCAGGAACTAAATGCGTTTATTGATTGTGATTCGGCTTTGAGGGCAGCCCGTTCCACACAGACTCCCTGCTCGGCCTCCTGTTGCACAAAGCCAAAACTTGTTGATCGTTATTTTGTCTGCTTGTTGTCCCGAGAGCCGAGTGGATAATGGAGTGCTATGCGTTACAAATGCATTTCCCCGGGATTATTTCTACTGCAGTTGGTTCGAATGCTGCACGCTTTGCCAGCTAAGCATATGGGAGTCGTATAACTAACTGACATTGTTCACTATGGAGTTCATAGTAACTTAGGTTTGAGACGAAAACTTAGTCCTCAGTTCTATGTTTCGTCAGATTCATTCCACAAGGACCTCGGCCCAACGAAGTCCAATCAATCAATAGTAACTCTCAATCGCCGCGGGCGATTATTATACATCACTTGCTGAATGTACACAACTTATTAACTTATTCGAGCTATCCACTTGACAGAAGGGCTTTCGATGCAGAAGGGCCATTTGTGGGCTGGGAGGAGCGATTCTCCAACATCAGGAGCAACAAGCCTTGTTTCGTTTCGCGCCAACCGAAGACAGTCGAAAGTGCGGAGGGAAAAGAAGTGAATGATCGAGCGGCGGACCCATTTCTTCGCAACTGCTACCTTATTCAAAATTAATCAAGGAACAGAAATGCGAAACGTTTTAGTACAAATCGGTGGATCAGTGAGTGGGTGGGGTGGTCGCTGGACAGTCGATAAGATAAGCGACAAGTGCGATAGAGCCCCGACAACTTGAGGCCTAATGTAGGTATTTGGGGACACAAGCTGCGCTACAAGCCCCAAAAAATGTACAATTCACACGGTAGATAACACCCAGGAATCGACTGGAGTGTGCGAGATTAGTCGGCCGTGTGACATAAGCGGGTGTCCACTGTAGTTCGATTACACTCCAATTGCCGCATAACTATTTCCTGGCGACGTTGGGACTGGAGAGTCCGTCATCACTGGAGGGTCTGCCGGGATTTTCTTTACCCCATTCAAGTGAGAAAGAACGCACAAAAACCGCGACGATTAGGTCAATTAAACCGGATTTCACATAGGTATACATATTCCTTCTGAGCATCAGGCGTCACTCCTCTCCTGGCCCTTGGGTTCCGATTAAAGTCAGCAGTAGAAAGTAAATTTAAACAGATGGCCGAAACAAGGCAAATACGCAAGCCACAGAAAAGAAAGGCGAAGCCTCGAATGACAAGAGCCCATGTGTTCATGATTTACATTTAAATGCAGAAATAGAACACAAGGAAGTCTTCTGACTCTGTGCATGTATTCCTTGGCTGTTGTTAGCAACATTTCACTTATTCGCAACTGAATTAAGTTACTCTCCAAGTGAGTTTTTCACAACGGGTCATTTTCAGCCAATTACGAGGTATCGGGATTGCTGCACGAGTAGGTTTGGCTTTCGAATGCTTAGAACTGAATGGCAAACTACTCACCCACCATCACTGAACTCTGAGGAGACACTCGCCATTTCGATGACTCGTTTACCGCCATTCCCGAGCGACTTGTCCTCCAAATGATTGAATTGTAATTGACAGTCCCCCAAGAAGCCTCCTCCTGTTGTCTCACCCGCCTTCGCTCGCTTCTGGCTGCTTTCCCCCAACTCCACCCACTTTCTCCCCCGTCTGGCATTGGGGATCACACAGATATTGACAACACAAGTCGCAGCTGTTAATGCAAGGCTAGTCATGTGCTTCGATTTATCGACAGCATTTCTATTTGTACTTTTGCCACAAAATATTTACACAATTGACAGCTGTTTCTGTTCAGCGCCCCCTCCCTTCCCCCGAAGATTTCTCCCCAGCCTTTCCACCCCCGAGTGTGTGGTGTTTGTCAGGCTGCTCATGTGGTCCTCGAACCAATGAATTATCTAAGCTTATTTTCACATCATCTTTGTCACGTGACGGGGCGACTTAGATTCCTTTCCTAGATACCGGAGGGCGCTCTTCCTGCGCTCCTGAGCCCCGGGAACCCGTTTTGGGGCGACATCCTAATCTCGTATTCGTTTGAAACGTTGGAGGTCGGAAATGGCATAAGTAAAATGTAAAAATGAAGCGGTTCTCTGGCCTTTGGATTGATTGTTCTGCTTTAAATGTGTGGCAATTAGAAGCCATCTTTTCCCTATCGCTTTCCAAATACTGAAATACCTGCCAATGCATTTGGGTAAACTTTAAAAAACTTTGCGAATACGTAATATGCGTATGGGGAATGTGCGTATACTTAATGCACGCATACTTGATTACGTATACGTAATGTACGCACACCTAATGTACGTATACGTAATTTGCAACTCATTAACACAGTAAAACGCAGTTAAAGCGGATGTGGAATTGTACTCTTAAATCAGAACAAAGCGCTTGCGCTTGCAAAGGTCACCAATTTTCAATATTTCAATTTTCACACCTTCAGTTGCCCGATCTTATTAAGCTTGTTGGGGGAAATTCATTGCAGCTCTCGCTGCTGTATACACACCTTCCGACCACAGAATTCGCTCAGTCTTGTCTAACCTCAGCAGCTGAAAAGTTTTCTAATTAAATGGCAATATGAATGCGGTGGTAAGAACCACTTGGCGACAACCTTAATCAATCAGTGGCATTCAATTTCTGTTTATTTATTGGGCGAGACAACAGCCTGTGCAACAGCAGTGCATTGATTATTGCCGCTATCGACGGGTGGAATTTGCATAGAAAATCAAGGACAAATCGATGTTGACAGAATGTCAGCCGTCGTTTCCGTTCGTTCCGTTCCCTGGATAATGGCGAAAATTGCCGCCTGCAATTTCTGTCAACTGGCCCACGGCAGGGTAACCTTCCGAGATAAGTTCCGCCATAACCGATAAACTGGGTAATTGGCCTGCAAATGTCACACACCAAATTCTGTTGGCAAATGCCGGAGTCAAGGATTAGAGAAAATTTGTGTATGACCGACCATCCCAGCAAATCTACTTGAATTAACGAAATAATTGAATTCGATTGTTTGATTTTCCTGGCTTTTTCAATGCGCTGGGTTACATTTTCTGATGTTTCCTCCCATGCCCGCCTTTTTGCCATTCGCTTTCCACTTGAGCCATCGATTTTCCGATTTTTCCAGCAGCTGTTCCCGACTTTTCCTCGTCTCTTCACAAAACAAATAGAAGAAGTAAAAGGCGGGCTTTGGAGGAGGGCTATGGCTAGATTTTTATTAATAGCAGTGTTCAACTTCGCGAAATTCAAAGGAACTGTACAACGAGGAGGGCAAATTTACCTTTTCCTATTACAAGCACTGGGAAACTGAAATTTAGCGCTTCGTTATTAAGGGGTCCTCGATTGGTTCGGTTCACCTTGGATAGCTGCTCGATATGATTATCGTTGGGGAGAAATTTTGCCGAGAACATGTGCAGTTGTCACTCAAATTGAATAACCGCACCTGGGAGAGTGTACATGGCCTCCACCTGTTGGTCCAATATATAGTACGCAATGTGCCCCAACTAATTGAATTGCTGAAACGCAATCCGCAACTGGATTCGACCGCACCATCGACTGATGCCAAAAACTTTGGTAATGATGGAGATGCGTCCGCAAATAGGTTGTAGTTCAAGTGGCTCGCCCAGGCAAATTGTTAGGTAGTTGCAATTTTCAAGGCAAGGGTTTATACAAAATTTCATTGAAGTGTGGTATTTCGCATGCTTTTCATCAGCCTTCTTCTGATTGTTTTTGTTAGCAGTATGCTGTGCATGAAATTTAAATAAGTTTTTGACAAACTTTCGACATTCATGAGCTCGAGATTGTAATAGACTGGAAAAGTTGCCCCACCTCAGAGTGCCAGCCAACTTGGCTTACGGTCAAACAAGTGCAGTTCCTCTCGCAAAGTTCACCAAAGTTGTGATATTAATTAATTAGTTGTAAGTTAAATATATTCTGTGGAAAAAAGAGCAATAGGCATGTGCAGATAGAAACAATTCCAGTTTGTTGTGTAGTCTGTGGCTACTTTATTTGCATATGTACATATAATATATGGCAAACTGAAAAGAAGTATTGGAAAAACAGGGTTTTCGCCCAGCGTAATGGCCAAGTTAAGTCCGGAGCCACACTGAAAATGAGTTATTGGGATAGGATATAGGGTTGTATAGCAGATAGCGCAGCTAATCCAGCAGGAGTTATCGTCTCTCTTCTTGGCCCAAATGCGATAGCGAGTTGGCTTGCATGTTATTATTATTATTTTCCGCGTTGTTGCTTTTTTTGCTTCGGCCGCTCTCCAAATAAACTGATAAACAGATAAGGGCTGTAAAAAACACCAAAAGCGGCGACTGCGAAGGAGGCAACGAGTACAAATATCTTGTTAACATGACTTTGATTGTGATTTATAGGACACACACCACAGCCTTATCGCCGCCAGACCGAATAAGAATAAGAGGAAAAACGAAGTACTAAACAAAACGTATAAGTATTGACGATCATGGACTTATGGACTTCATGTGCTCATTGAGGGATTAACACTTCAACTATCTTCGAAGCGAAAGATTTAAATTGAGAAATGCAGTTCCACTCCCTTCCGATCTGTATAATCCCTGGTCACTTGTGGGCCAATAATCCCCTGATTGTGCATTTCGATAATAAGGATTACTTCGACGCCCTGACCACAAAAGACGTGGCAGGTGGTGGTCGAAGGTGCCAACTTCTGTGTGGCTGTGGCTGTGGCTAGCAAACTGAGTTCTGAGTTCTGAGTGCAAC